TTTGATTTTTAAGTGAATTGAAAAACCATTATTTTCACTTTTTTAACTCAATGGTCTTATTATTGTTAGCCACTATAGACATATAAAAAAGAAAGGATAGAATAATCTTTAATAAATTAAAGGAAAATATATTAACAGGGAAATAGCTTTGAATTAGTATTGTATAGAACTGCAGACTATGCATCTTGCCTAAAAACTGGACTGTCTCTAATCTATACCCATTATTACTAGAGTAAAATTTGCTTAACTGTGGAGATTCCTCTTATTATTCAAGCTGCCTGTCCCTGTTTTTAATTCCCACCAGGCTTTTTGTAAAGCCTTTTTTTTTTTTTTTTTTTTACTAACAGCCAAGATTCAAGCATGGTAAGCTCATCATGCTCAAAAGGATATGCATAATGTTTGTAGCAAGGTCAATTTGGAAGTGTATGCAACCACAGTTTAGAAACAAATGTATTGAGCTAAAACAGAAGCTTTTGCTTTTCGGCAGAAATTCAAACTATTTATACTATTTGTTTATAGGCCTGCATCATTTCTTCCCTTTCCGAAACAGTTTTAACGTGTATCACTTTTTTAAAAAGTATACAAAATGTCAAAGAAATAAGGGGAAAGTTGTGGAGGATACTTTGAAAACAAAAATTTATGCCGATAATGTCCCTGAAAGACTACAGGTAGATTGCTTGGCTTGGATAAGCTGAGAAACAGGGTTCACTTCAAACAGAAAAGCAAAATCAAATCACACAGGTATTCCTTGATATGAATTATGATATGAGATATGAATTGTATGTCACTATTACACTTTTTTAACAGCTGCACTGGTAGATGTTTTCATCTCATATTCAACAAAGAAGCTATCATTAGTTAATTTATAAGCAAAACATCTAAATAAGATTTCTTATGTTAATTGAATCCAGACTTCAATAACCTCTGTTTCCTATTGGTTGTAAGCAACCTATTTATTTCTCTTTTCATTTGAAAATGGAATACTGTATTGAGAAGATAAACATTTTTGTTGTTGTTAATTCAGCTGCTGTTGATTCATCTGCTCCAAAGAGTTTGAACACAAGCATTAAATGTAGGTACAACTTGCTTTGTTTTCCAAATAATGTCTCGTTTCATTTTGTTTGGACTGGAAATGTTTGTTTTGGACTCTTTCTCTCTCTGTCCCCTAGCTCCAGCTCTCAAACTTAAGTGAGGGACGTGTGTACTTCATAGGAGAGTGATTGTATCATTAACAGAAGAAAAGGTTCAGTTACATGAACTCTAAGTTTCTAATAGGATATCCCAGAGTAGCAGTAAAATTGATCACAGAGGAACAATTGCCACCTAAGGAAACATGACTGAAGTTAGGCCAGAATTTGCACAGGGAGATCAAACTTGCATCGTCACACCATAATCAGGTGACATCTTGTGACTTTTTCCCCTTCACTAAACCAGGCGTGGGCATTGCCAGTGTGTGACACATCCAGCCCGCGGTCCATGAGTTTGATGGCCCTGAATTAGGGAGTATTAAGAGATGACATGAAACTCAGCTTCAAAATCAATAAATTCCGTACCTCTCGAAATCTTCTAACAATTGCACTTAACGGTCATGAAATATTCCAATGGAGATTTCAGATGTTGGCTATGTTCTCCCTAACACTCAAAAGAGAATAAGAGCCAACAGCACTGCAGAGGGAGGAGAATGTAGAACAATTGGTAGAAAAGAGGAGAGAGAAAGGGAGGAAATATACAATAGAACTGTTCTCAACCTTTTCTTCATCATCGATCCCTTTAAATATCTTTTGTGACCATGGGCCATGGCCAAGGACCACCAAAACTTAGCTCAAGATTTAAATCCTAACATTTCTTCAAGTCTTCGTGTACCCCCTGTAATGATATTGCAGGGGTTCATGGACCACAGCTAAAATATCTTCTGGATGCACTATAAACTTTTCTCTGTTCCTTTGCTCTGATATCTTAATACTGCATTATGATTTTTATTCATCCAACTCCAATATCCTTAACCAAACCTTAGATCACTTGTTTTCCAGTCCCTCTTTTCTCATCCTTACCCACCCAGCTCCATGGAATATATAGACTAATAAGATTTTATTTTGTTTTAAACAAGTAACTATGCCTAAGAGGTTATAATTAAAATAACTTAAGAACAATAACCTCTTTCTTTTTTGTTTCTTTTTCTTTGTCTATTGTTAGATTGTAAATCCTTTGGGGCAATGTCCTATCAATTCTATTCTGAGTAAAATGCCTTGTACATGAATGGCATCAAATCTACACAAATTGTTTTTGCTGTTACTATTAATAGATAATAAGCAATAAATGAAAAAAGGCCTCAAAAGTGTGTATGAAAAGATTCTTTAGAATTGCTATCCTAATTTAAGGTAAAATTAGCTTAATTCTTAGCTTAGTTTTTATTACAGAACAAAATATTTGCTGAGCATGCATTCTGCCTCTTCCTTAAAAACATCTTAAAATGAATCAAGAAATGAAGCTACGTTAGCATGGGAGAAATAGAAGAATCTGCATAGCTTAGCATAAATGACTGAGGAAGCAAAAAAAAATGATAGCAAGAGTGATTCATATTATAGGAACATCACTGCTTTGAAATATTAAGTAGATGTTTTCAAGTATAACTATTACAGACTTAACTAGGTACAGTACTTACAGTAGAACAATTTTTGGAAATAAAGTGCTAACAATTTTCAATTTTGCCACTGAAAGTCAGTTTTAATTTAATACCAGAATCACTTTTCCATTGTTTTTAAAATATGTGATGTCATTGATAAGCAGTTGAACTTGAAGTAATTTGTGAAGGGATGACTATTACATAATGAATTTAAATTGCAATAGATATTCTTTGAATTTAAATGAACATAGAATGTATAGCAGGGATCCCCAAACTTGGCAACTTTAAGACTTGTGGACTGCAATTCCCAGAATTCTCCAGCCAGCGTAGCGTATATTATTAGGTAATTAAAGTGATTTTATGATATTAGCAGCATTCTGTCTGATGAGATTTTCAGTAATCTGTGTTCATTCAAAGAATGGATAAAATGTTTTTTTTAATTCATAACATGATTACTGCTGAGAAATACACATCTATTAAAATGCTTTACAGTTATTACATAAAACAGAAAGAATTATAATAAATACTGGTCCGTAATTTAATAATCCATTGTTCTTAATTTGTTAACTTTTAACTTAATAATTCACTGTTCTTGTTAAAATTTAAATTTAATAATTCACTTTCTTAATTTATTAATATTTATTCCATTATAATTCAGAACTTGCTGCTTGAAAGCAGCCTTGTGGAAGATGGTAAAGTAATTTAATTAATAGCAAAGCATAAATATAGAGGACTTTTTATGATAGTTGATGGCCTACAGAAATTGAAACTAGGTAAAGAAAAAAATGATGTAGGAAGAAATTGGCGTTATATAATTAAAAATGTAGGCTTCTGCAGAATGATTGTTTAGATATTCAGCCAATGAGATTTAGCACAGCCTTTCATGGTATATATTATTATCTGCTTGGAAGAATTCCATATTACAGGGTAAATTAAGACCTAAGGGAATTATAGAATACACCATCCATTACTTCTGAGCTGTTATAATTTACACCTACTTAGCAATTTTTTTAGAACAAAAGAGGAGAGAAATGTTTACAATCTTCCAAACTCTTCCAACCTCTTTAATTTTCTTAGTTGTGTGTTCCCAGGTTATTTCACCTCCATTGGAACATGGTCATTGAATCTATCTCTTATGATTTACTCATTTGCTCACTTAGCAATCCCACATTCTGAGTTTCAGACCATGTTATAAGCCAGGATGAGGCCTATACAATCATGAATGAATGCTTTGTCTTCAGAAGGTGTGGTTGCTCCCTCACTGAAGATTTTTAAGAAGAGACTGGATGGCCACTTGTCTGGAATGGCATAGGGTCTTCTGCTTGAGTAGAGGGTTGGATTAGAAGACTTTCAAGGTCTCTTCCAACTCTGTTATTCTGAATTGAGATGTGACAGGCAATACCTGTATGGTGTCCCCAACAATTCAAAGCAGTTAAGGGGGCAGAAATTGAATGGCCCAGTTTCTGGATTTCTGCAGTCATGACACCCAATTTATTAGCTATCACTTCTATAAGTGCAGTATTTGGAACTACATTTCCCATACCAATTCCTTATTGCCGTGTTCTTGTTGTATCTCTTTTTGCCTGCAGGCAAATCAATTTTCTAATGTACTAACAGTGCTCCATAATGTTCACTCTATACAAATTCTTTACATGGCGGAATAAATTTAAACATATGAATGTAATGTTTAATAATAATAATAATTATTGTTAACTTTATTGTCATTGTACAAATATACACAGTATACACATGCAACGAAATTCACATAACACCCAAAGACCGGACCCAACATGCACACATACATGACAATCCTGAAAAACACCCCACCTGCCAAGGTTCCTCACCCCCTAAAACACACACAAGCATCCATACAACAGACCAAGTAATACTGTCCAACAGCTTACTGATGGTGGTCTTTAAGTTCATTGTTAAGTGCAATTATAGCTCTGGGATAAAAACTATTTGGAAAACGTGTGGTCTGAGTTTTAATTGTTCTGTATCTTCTGCCAGAAGGCAACAGTTCACAAAAATTGTGAGCGGGATGGGAAGAGTCTCTGAAAATGTTGTGGAACTTCCTCAAACAGCGAGATGCAAAGATATCATCCAGAATGTAATGTTTCTACTTTTCAAGAAAAAATTAGATTCCCCCAAATATCTTTTCTCCCTGTTATCAGATTATTTAATCAAAGTCATCACCCTAAGATTCTTTTGCTTTCTTCAGTTCTAATAATTTAATATTGTTAGATTATCTAATAATCTTATTAGATTATCAAAACTTCAAGTACTTTTGGTATCGCGATAGCCATATAAGAAAGCCATATTAACTTATATTCCACCTTCTTCAAGTCAAAAGCAACATACAAAGGGATGCCCCATAATTTTAATTTCACTTAACAACCTCTGAAATGTTTGGCCCAATTTTAACTATTTTCGATTGTTTATGTTTTTTTTCTTATCTTTCCTGGAAATTTTAAATCTCTTTTCTGTATTTTTTTCTCTGTCCCTGTCTTTACCTCTTTTATATATATATATGTTCTCTGGTCAACATATTAAATATCAATTAAAAAGAAAGGTTAGATGGAAAAAATTATTTGGCTCAATATTGTTAATAATAACAACATCTTACCAGTTAGTACAATTTACTGAGGGATTGAAATTTTTTTTGAGGAAAAAAATAAGACATTCAAAGGTCTTAATTTAGCTTTTTCTCCCAAATCTTTTAAAGCAGGCATGTAGCCCTCGACAACTAGTAATGCAGCCCCACAAGATCACAATGAATATATATGAAATTTGTTCTTTATTATATTATGTATTTTATATGTGGCCAAGACAATTCCTCTTCACTCAGTGTGGCTCAGGCAAGCCAAGTGGTTGGACAAGCTTGCTTTAAATATATAGTTACACCACATTAAAGAAAATGGTGAGGAGTAGGTAATCTTGCTAGGTAAAGAAGGATCTGCAAACAAACACCCAAGCTTGGTGAGCACCAATAACTCTTCAGCCCTGAGCTACAGATAGTCTCTTTTATTAGAAGATGATAAGGAAAGATGATAACTCTTTGTGTCAAAACTTTCATATCACAGACAGAGACCAACAGAAAAGAGAGAAGCTTATCAAAGCTGTTGAAAAATTCAAGAAAGAAGTAGCATTGATCCATTCTACATCACCATGTCATTCTAGAGGTGTTTCCGCTAAGAATCACAATGTAAGATGATATACTATGTAGCTTGTTTTGGAGGCAATGGGTAGGAAGTGAATGTCTCTTCCAAGGAACTGTATTTCAGTGTCTAATGAGTGCATGAAAACCATTTCATAGAATGAATGAAACACTAAGTGAGGGAAAGCTTAATGCTATAATTGTCTAGTAATAAAAATGGAATATGGACCCATATCCTCAACTTATTTTCCTATGGTACTGAACACTTTTATTAGATGCTAGTTCAGCAGCAGTAAGAATAATCTATTTTCAAACTCTGTGTTATTTTAACTTATTTCATTTGAATTTATTTTGCTCAGATTATATTACATTAGTATTGCATTAATTAATCAGACTAATTAATTAGTTAGGGATTGTGGTCAATGTTACATTTCATTTGTCTTCTCCAACCCTATTTTATCATCTCTTCAGCAAAATGAGCCATGTGATTTGAGATGGTCCTACGAGTTAAAACTATCTTAAATATCAGTTGGATGATGAATCAATGAAAGTGTTTCTTCCTACTCATATTTTCATATTTCTATCCACCTTCCTCATTAGGTGGGAAATGATAGAATTTGATTTCCCATCTGTATTTTTGCAAGACCTGTCCATGGAAAATTGAAGCCTCTTTTATAATATCAGTTCCAGCCTAAAGATAAATTTCTACTGATTCCAAATCATATCCTGGTATCATTCTTTTATAAAGTACAATTTATCTGTAACCTATTCTTGGCCCATAATTGAATGAAGTAGGAATGAGGATTCCAAAGAACATTATAGAATGCCTGTGATTACACACATTTTTATATGCTTGAATTTTTTCTTCCACAAGTAGAATATATCTTTGCTTTTTTTAAAAAAAAAAATCTGCAGTGATAAAGCTAGCCCAGCTAAAATTTTACTCTGCTATGTTGCAATTTCTATTGGAGATGTTTGATTTGAAACATGGGAAAACTTCTAAACAGCAATTTCTTCCTGGAGTGTGGAATGATAGAATTTGATTTCCTACCTATGTTTTTAAACAACTGAATCCACTATATTTGTTCTCCTTTATAAGATTTCAGTCATATGACTCTAGGGTGCAGAAGGGCAATTACATTTTTAAATGTTCTCTCTGTTTTTCCTAAATTCTCAGCAGTTACCAAATCACCTGAATTTGATTTCAAGAGCAAGATCACCTCCTTTGAGAAAAGAGGAAGAGAGTCCTTCCAAATGGTCTAAGAAAATGTATGTTAGTCTCCAGCCCTCAGTTTTGAAGGCAGAAGATATTCAAGGTCCAGTCTTATCTCGTAGGTACAGAAATGCACTCCAGCCATGTGCATTATCTCTTTCCCTGTCTCCTGGGAAATTATGTCAGAGCCCTAAGAAGAAATCTACTAGTGGAGATCTACTGGACACACACGCTGATTGGTTTACGGAAGCAAAGCAGCCTTTTACCCCAAAGCTCTTAAAAACAGCAAGTAAATCGTTTCTTTCAAAATATAGATATTATAACCATCCGTGCAGGAAGAAAAACCTTTCTCTTCATACAAAGTCACACAGAAGATCAAGAAATGTTTACAGGTAAAGAGTTTGTCAGCTTATTATCAACAAATAGTTGGTGAAGCTGAACCAATCTCAGCTTCAGACAAGTAAATTTTAAACTGCTATCACTGTTGCTGATATCTTTTTTTTTTTCATCTTTCAGGTCTATGGATAACGAGTGCCTAAGAGCTTATATGGATGACCCTCCATGCCATCCACACAAGGTTTCATATTGTTCAGTAATAGATTAAATTACTCCGGCAGTAACATTCATAAATATCAACATTAGTATTAAAATGTATTGGCCATTGCTCAGTTTTTTATTTATCCATAATGAAGTTTGAATTCTCTACTCACATGCGCTGAAAAAAAGAAGTCTCGTTAGATTCAGGGAGTCTAATTTCTGAGAAGACATGAATTAGATTGCGTTGTGAATAATGTTATTTGATTCTTCTAAGTAAAAGTAGTTATGAAAGCAATTTAAAACTGTACTTCTTTGGGAAATCTAGTATTTCAGAGTGGATAATGACAGTGGTGTTTCGTGACAGTAGACCTAAAATTACAGCACCGCTTTGAAAACAGTGTTTAAAAACATGTCAAAGTCATAACTCAGCCCAATGCAGAATTGTCCCTCCTAAAAGAGAATGTGAAAACATAAATCAGGTGTTCACTAATGTAGTCAGAAATTATGTGGAACAAACACATTGTTATTTTGCTTTTTCAGAAAAGAAGCTGCTTTCCTTTGAAAGCAGATTTTCCCAAACACAAGCAGAATTAAAACTTCCACAATATGCAGACAGTATCTGTGATTGTACTCTATCAGCAGATGTGCAGAGTTGCTTTAAAGGAACAAGAGAGCATGTCTGAAATTAACATTTCCCTTTTTCATTTGCTTTTTGGTCATTGCAGCATATAAACATCAGAAAAAGACAACAGTTTGAAAAGTGATCATACAAGTACTTCATTGGACTATTTAGTATCAAATGTGTATTCATGTAACATTTGGCTGCACAATATTTATTCTGTCTCTTCCCACTATATATTAGCATTGCTTGTATCATGTCTGCAAAACATCAGCCAAGCACCAAATGGCAGTTAGGAGGTTCATTTAGCAGAAGCTACAACAAAAGAGACAGTTTATACCTACTGCCTCTTTTAGGTGCCAGAGAATTTTGCAATATCACTGAAAAAAAAATGATTAGGGATCTTCAGACTTTAACTCTTAAAAAAAACACTTCATCACGCCAGGTTTTTATAGGTACAAAGGATCACACACATCCTGAATTAGAAACAGCTACTAGGGATCTAGCCCAGTTACTGGCATTTTTCACAATTGTTATTTAAAATAAAAAGCAAAAGGTATTGATTGTACAATATGTACTTCATTCTGATATTGCAAAATATTTTATTCCATCAATTTTTCAGGATGAATTGGGTTTGTGGTCTAACCTGTTAGCTTAAAACAAAGCAGAATATGGTCAGAATCTGTCTCTCTGTGTGTGCATGTGTGCTTAATTGTTAAGCAACTAAAGGCAGCACACAGAACAAGTGAGGAACACAATATAACAGTAAAAAAAGGGGGAGGAACCAACAGAAAATCACAATCCAGTGAATAAAGAATGCAGCATATTAGTGGGTTCTTCTTGACCAAGGGCCTGCTGAAAGAAGCATGCTTTTATGATGTTTGTGTTGGACCAGAGGTGGTATTCAGCAGGTTCTGACCAGTTCTGGAGAACTGGTAGTGGAAATTTTGAGTAGTTTGGAGTACCGGCAAATACCACCTCTGGCTGGAGATTTTATAGTATCCTTCACCTGCCACACCCAACAAGCCACACCCACAGAACTGGTAGCTAAAAAATTTGAATCCTACCACTGTGTTGGACAGCAGATTTTCCATGTGATCACAAGAAATCTTTGTCTTTGATTTGAGATGGCATTCACATCTGAGAGTGTGAAGCCTTTGGACCAATCTGGTAAATAATCAGCTATTTGTGATTTAGGATGTATTCAAAAGAAGTATTTCCTTCAGTGCATCAGCCAACATCCAGATAAGCAGGGATTAGCACTAGGCAAACAATCAAGGATTAAACAATGCTGTAATAAAGAAACTACCAAGGAACAAATCATACCCTCATCAAAATGGTCAGGGCAAGCTATTGGATATAAACAGACAGTAAATCCCATATTCACTCTCACTGATGATGTTACCTAGTTGGGTAATGATATGTTTGCAAGCAAATAAGTTCAGAGAGCACCATGAATGGGACAGTTTTTTATGTTCATCAGGGGAAGGAGGTGGGGTTTTTGACTCCATACATATGTAACCAAGAACATCTGTCCCTTATGGGAATGTGGGTTCTGTGTCTGGCAGGCAGACTGCTGTATTGTGGGAGCTTGTTGCCCATTGTTAGTTTCCTGTTGGCAGAATTCTTCCATCATTGCACCTTCCAGCTTCCTGCAAAGATTCAAATGTGGTAACATCTTGGGGAATCACTGTTTTTTCAATGGTATTTAAAGGGAACAAAGGCAAGTGCCTTAGTAACTTTGTAGATTCTCCTTCTAACACCAACCATTCAGATTTTTAGAGAAACCCCACAATCACCAGCGGAGGTGCTGATCTTTGTGTGTGTGTGTGTGTGATGTGTGTGTAAATTTGAGGGTCAGCAGCAATGAAATTTATTTTAGATCAATGTTAAATTACTTTTGTCAAACAGAGGTATAACAATGGTGGTGTGGAAGTGTCCCTAATTATTGTGTAAGTGCGGACACATGAGGCAGACACGGAGCTAAAGGCTAACATTGCTTTATTCGAAGCATAACGGGTTACCGCGGCTGTCGAGGCTGGGCTGGCAGCCAGCTGGTGGCAACAGCTGATGCCGTTTGACAGCTCCTTTTATAGCCGGCTGTCAAACGGCATCGACCAATGGGAGCGGTCGCTGCTCCCGCCAGGAATGCAGACCAGGTTGGAGACTGTAGTTAGTCAGGGACACAACACCCCTTTCCCCTGGCTAAGAGCATGCGCGGCCCTGCAAATAGGCCGGCTGCCTGCGCTGGCGGCTGTACCGTCATAGTCCAGGGGAAGCTCCGGCTGGGGTAGAGTCCCTTGCCCCCGGGATCGTCCTGGAAGCTGCAGGGGTGTGAATTCGATCAGCCAGGAGCCAGCGGTGGTCCAGGTAGGTTTCCCCGTCCGGTTTGCTTCGGCGCATCGTCTGGCTGGAACGGTAGACCGGGTCAGGCAGGGAAAACTTTGGTGTTGGCTGGTAGACCGGGTCGCCTACTCTTGCTGAGTAGACCGGGTTGTCTGGCTCAGGACCCTCTGCTCTCGGCGGTAGACCAGCTTGTCTCGGCTTTCGGCAGGTAGACCGGCTCGTCTTGGCTTTCGGCAGATAGACCGGTTCTTGGCGGGTAGACCGGCTCGTCTCGGCCTTCAGCGGATAGACCGGCTCTCGGCAGGTAGACCGGCTCGTCTCGGCCTTCGGCGGATAGACCGGCTCTCGGCGGGTAGACCGGCTCATCTCGGCTTTTGGCGGATAGACCGGCTCTCGGCCTTCGGCGGATAGACCGGCTCTCGGCGAGTAGACCGGCTCGTCTCGGCCTTCAGCGGATAGACCGGCTCTCGGCGAGTAGACCGGCTCGTCTCGGCCTTCAGCGGATAGACGGGCTCTCGGCGGGTAGACCGGCTCATCTCGGCCTTCGGCGAGTGGTGCCTTTTCAGGCGGCGTCTGTCTCCTCAGTCAGGGAGGCTTTGAGCTTCGCGCCCTCAAAAGAGCGCTCGCAGCAGTGCCTGTTAGGCGGCGCCTGTCTCCTCAGCTGTGGAGCTTTTAAACTTGGCACACGCAGAGATTGTCTGCGGCTTCTGACATTCAGCTCTCAGCGGCTTCGGCTCTTTTCAACAGTGACTTTGCTCGGCTGTTTTAGTCCGGTTGCCTCTCATTTGTGTATCCCATCCTCATCGCCAGTGTTGTGTAAGTGCGGACACACGAGGCAGACACGGAGCTAAAGGCTAACATTTATTCGAAGCATAACGGGTTACCGCGGCTGCCGAGGCTGGGCTGGCAGCCAGCTGGTGGCAACAGCTGATGCCGTTTGACAGCTCCTTTTATAGCCGGCTGTCAAACGGCATCGACCAATGGGAGCGGTCGCTGCTCCCGCCAGGAATGCTGACCAGATTGGAGACTGTAGCCGGCTGTCAAACGGCATCGACCAATGGGAGCGGTCGCTGCTCCCGCCAGGAATGCAGACCAGGTTGGAGACTGTAGTTAGTCAGGGACACAACACTAATTATATCCTGTCAAACACAGGGAGTGTAAAAATATCCAGGATCTATGCAGAAATCCACAGTGGATTTGATTCATTGTGGGTGTACAAAAGGAATATGTGCAGATATACATAAAGGATATGCAATGTATAGTGTATTTTATATATTTTAAGAGCTGATTTTGTTGTCCCGCATCTGAAAATGAACAAGTATTTTCCTTTTATGAATTATTAAGGCCTTTTCAGAGAGATACTTTGTGCCTTATGATCAAACTGAGGATTTTTTCCCCCCAGAAAAGCAAATAGTCAGCATAGCACACATGCCCAAATATAATTACTGTGAAGCTAACTATTGTGAAGCTACCTAGGATTTTGCATTGCCTTCAAGGGTTTTGCATTGCCTTATTGTTATTTCCTACTTGTACTTTACCAAAGCTGGAAGAGCATTGATCCTGGCACTGCATCTAGGCAGATCCCTCCTTGGGCTTTGACAAGGGCAGCTGGAGAAGACAAAGCTATGTATTCTCCCACACACTTTGTCAACACTTGGGGTGAATGAAGAGTGATCTGTCCTCTGCAGTAATCATTAAATCTTTGCAATGCAAAGTGAAGCAACATGGCTGCTTTGGAACAGATGTTTGCCAAAGCAAATATCTACTCAGTGATTTGCACAGCCTCAATGTAAAGCAATGAATGAGATAAAGCAATTGCTTACATCTTTTCTTTGTGTTTAAAAATTACAGAAACATTCTGGGAATTCAACTGCTATTCAAATACTTCTTCATGCAAAGTGAGTTCTGCATTTATTTTTAATAACAACACTGTTCCCTGTGCAACAAAATATTAAAATTGTGGCTGTTTCAAGAAACCTGAAACATGGAGGCCGCTCCTTTGTAAGAACCTAACAAGGGTTCTGAATGACCCAGGCAAAGGCTTATCTAGTCTGCCTTTTTCTTTTCAATGGGCAACCTGACACTTCTGAGTCTGGAAGCAGGATAAATGGTCTTTCTATGCTAATATTATCATCTCAATGGTGAGAGCGGGTGATATGCAAAGCCCACATCAGGGATGCAAAAAGTATCAGGTAGGCATTCCATGCAGATTACTCACCTGTCTTTTGCAGCCCCTGGAATAGATTTTGCCATGCTTATTCTGCAAGGTGGTAGCTAAAGAGAAGAGCACTCTTTGCTTACAGAAGGTGCCATTTTCTTTCCTAGTTCTAATATGGTTGGGAAAGTTATTTTAAATCTCTGGAGAACTGTAGTCAAGATGATGAGCCACATTGGGATCAGTGCTAGTTCACTATCAAGCTATATGCTAATGTAAATTGTGAGGTTTTGCCTTAATCTCCATTAGGATTTCTGACAGAGATTTGGGTAACCTTTTGATGGCCAGATGTTGCACTTGGCTTTGGGAGGACTGAGGGCATAATAACACCAGATTCGCTGATTCTTTTTAAACTGACTCAAGAGATAGTTTACTTATCTCCCCATTTTTAACAAAACGTTAAGCTTATTTTAGGGTTTACTGAACTGGTTTTGCATGTTTACACCTCCCAATGATGTGGAACTCTCTTTTGTTCATTGTGATTTAAAAAAAAAAACACTGCAGGAGGTATAAGAAAGGCTTTGCCAAAGCTAGAAGAGCATCGATCCTGACACTGCATCTAGGCAGATGCCTCCTTGGGCTTTGACAAGGGAAGCTGGAGAAGACAAAGCTGTGTATTCTCCTGCATACTTTGTTAACACTTGGGGTGAATGAAGAGTGACTTGTCCTCTGTAGCACTCAGATTTCAGGGGCTATGGCTGCAAATCTATAGCTTTGTGATAAATATGATATGATGCAACTATGACCTAAAACACCCTTCATTTAACACAGAATTTATGACAATCTCCAGACATGTGAATAGGCCTTTTGAGTAGAATGACAGACAAGACGACACCATATATTGACGTTGTGACCTAAACTTCATTCTTTTGTACTTGCATCCTGCTGTCTGACACAGGAATACTGTATATACTCGAGTATAAGCCTAGTTTTTCAGCCCATTTTTTGTGCTGAAAAAATCCCCCTCGGCTTATACTCGAGTCAGATTCCCCTCTGAAAAAAAAATGGTGTGGAGTCGCGGCCTCCGGCGGCAGCGACTCCCAACAGCCCCAGCCGCGAAGGGAAAGGCAAAAAGCGTTTTCCCTTTCCCTTCCCGAGGCGGCGGGACTGGGGCCGCTCCGGCGGTAGCGACTCCCAACAGCCCCAGCCGGGAAGGGAAAGGCAAAAAGCGTTTTGCCTTTCCCTTCCCGAGGCGGCGGGACTGGGGCCGTGCCGGCGGTAGTGACTCCTGACTCAGGGGGCCTCCGAGGGAGGGGAAGAGAGTGACTCCTGCCTCCCGCTGTCATCATCATCTTCTTCTTTTGGGTTAGTGAATCAATTAAACCTTTCATGATAGTGAGATCGTTTCCCAAATTAATTATTTTTATTTTTGAAATTTACCAGTAGCTGCTGCATTTCCCACCCTCGGCTTATACTCGAGTCAATAAGTTTTCCCAGTTTTTTTGTGTAAAATTAGGTGCCTCGGCTTATATTCGGGTCGACTTATACTCGAGTATATACGGTATATGTTGCAGGGTTTGTGTAATGACATCATTACACGAGTTTTGCTATTTTCCTCTAATGGACAGTAGATAGGTGAACTCCAACTCCCAGAATTCCTAACCAGCATGATTGTTAAAATTCTGGAAGCTGAAGTCATCTGGAGGGCAGCAAAGTTGAGGAAACTGTCATCACCTAAAAACAAGGAGAACTATTCTGACAATGAGAACAATCAACCCATTGAACAGAAGTTGTCTCCAGAAGTTGTGGGAGCTTCATCCCTGGAAGCTTTCAAGAAGACACTAGACTGCCATCGGTCAGAAATGGTGTTGGGTCTCCTGCTTGGGTGGGGGATTGGACTAGAAGATGACCTACAAGGTCCCTTCCAACTCTTGTTAGTCTGTAATCTAATAATTTATGTATGATTAGACTGACTTTCAACTATATTCGCCATTTTTAATGTAAGTTGTAGGAAGAAAATAATTATTAAAACATGAGAACTGATTTTCCATGGATATTCTTATTTTTGTTTCTTTTTTAAGAAATGAAGAGTTGAAGTACCTGCAGTTGCTTCAAGAAGTTACGAATTATATTTTGCTTAGAAGTTATTATTGGAAGAAGTGAGTCAGATATTTTTTTAAATAATTTATTTCTGTAAATAGCGTGTAAAAACATGTCCCCCTAAGATGAAATATTTTTAACATGTTGGTCCAATTTCTACCTGTGTTGCGTCTAAATTGGAATAAACTGGTAAAGATTTCAATAATTTCTTTAATTAAAATCACAATATGTAAAACAATCCACACGTAAATGTAGGACAGTCTAAACAAATTCTAGCAAAGCACTGTTGTATCTTTGTCTCAACAGCAATAATACAATTTTTGCTTTAAAGTTTCTGTCAGCAAATTCAAATGCTTGTCTGATTCTTCAAGATGCTGAATGCTTTAATTGCTCCTTTGTAAGATGCTTGTGCTCTAACAAAAGAGCAATTCTGGCAAATTGCAGTTTAAATTCATAGCTCTGCAATGTAAAATTCTGATTCCCTTGCTCCTTACAATCCAACTAACTTCATGTATTAGTTCAATTTATCTTATTCAAAGAATAAGAACCCATTATTATTACACAGCTTTCCAATAATCAGCTCCCCAGTAGCGAAAGCCAAATTTCCTTGAATGATGATGCTTGTTTACCTCTCTTTCCTTAAATGATGATACTTGTTTGCAAAGCTAAACCAAGATGCCATGAAAGTTATACATGTAAGGCTAGACAATAGCATAAGTTTGACACTTCTTGCATCAATTCCAACATATGTACATGCGATTAAATATAAGATGGAAAATGCAAATGGTGGAATATGTTTCAAAGTTTTAAGTTGTTTTATTGCATACTTAAAGAACTCATTTGCCTCAAGACATCCAAAGTAGCGTTGTGTTAGTATCAGGGTGGCAATAATTATTGCAATAATTTTAGTGCATTAAGCATGTGGCAAAGTAAAATCTATTCCATTAAAAATATAGCTATTGATGATAAATTTACTTGTTTAGTACATATCCCAACTTTCTGTGTGGAGGCAATTATATTACAGAACATAAGCAAAACTCAGGAGCAATGTTATCTCTCATTAATTGTCTTAAAAATGGATGGGTGACATTCCATAATGTGGGTGACATTGGAAATGAAGATTGCTTGCCAATATAGATTAAAGAAATTATTTTATCTCTCATCATCCTTTGTAGCATATGGTAGAAACAATAGCTTCAGTAGGCTAAAGTTTGTTCTGCATTATGAAAATGCTTTTGGTATAGATCCCTATTGATTTTTCTCCTTACAATGCAACACATATTTTTTTAAACCATCACAATCACATTTACTATTTTCTGGAACTTTTTTAACACCAAAAGTTTAGGAAACAATACTGACAATACATTGGAGGAACACAATATTGGGGGAGGTTGTTCCAGTTATCACAAAATTGGTTATTCCAAGGTGCAAACTAAATAGTTCATCAACATTTGGATTCTGCTTTGTTGAGCAGAACAAATAAGGAATTTAAATTCAGGAAATTTAAATTCCTTCCAATGCTACATATTTTTAATATTAGGGTCAAATGTTAGAGAAAATAATAGCTCAACTACAGCATTGATAATTGTTTGAATGCTGTTTCATGTTATGCATTCTTTATGCATGTGCATTTTTATAAATATGTAATTATATATTTGATACATACTGTATATATGACACATATATGTTCCTTATATGAATAGAAGGAATGCTTTAGTTAAAATGTGATGGCTTAAAACATGATTGTATCTGTACTTTACATAGATGATGTGTTAACTGGATAGAAGCATTCCTGTCAAACAGACAACAAATGGTCAAAATCGGGAGCATCCTATCAAATCCAGTACCTGTCAATAGTGGTGTCCCCCAGGGCAGTGTTCTAGGACCAACTCTCTTCATACTCTACATAAACGACCTCTGTGATCATATTAAGAGCAATTGCGTTCTCTTCGCTGATGATGTAAAGCTGTTCAATACCACAGACAATACTGCTACCCTACAAAAAGATCTTGACTATGTATCTGAATGGTCAAACAAATGGCAACTTCAAATCTCAACAAATAAATGCTCTGTCCTACATATTGGCAAAAAAAATCAGAAAATAAAATACAAGCTGAATAGCCAAGATCTTGTTGATGACCCAAGCTCTGTAAAGGACCTTGGAATACTCACCTCTAATGATCTAAGTGCTAGAGCCCACTGCAACTACATAGCCAAAAAGGCATTAAGAGTTGTTAACCTAATCCTACGTAGCTTTTTCTCTGGTAATATCACACTACTAACCAGAGCATACAAAACATTTGCTAGACCAATACTCGAATACAGTTCATCAGTCTGGAACCCTCATTACGTATCTGATATTAACACAATTGAGAAAGTCCAGAAATATTTCACAAGAAGAGTTCTCCACTCTTCTACTCGTTGTAAAATACCTTATGCCACCAGACTTGAAATTCTAGAACTAGAAAACCTTGAATTACGCCGTCTTCGGTCTGACTTAAGCATGGTATATAAAATCATACATTGCAATGTCCTACCTGTCAATGAATACTTCAGCTTCAACCATAACAACACAAGAGCACACAATAGATACAAACTCAAAGTAAACCGCACCAAACTTGATTGCAGGAAATACGACTTCAGCAATAGAGTGGTCAATGTCTGGAATACTCTACCCGACTCTGTAGTCTCTTCCCCAAACCCCAAAAACTTTAACCTTAGACTGTCTACTATTGACCTCACCCCTTTCCTAAGAGGTCTGTAGGGGGCGTGCATAAGCGCACCAACGTGCCTACCGTCCCTGTCCTATTGTTTCTCTTATTCTTTTATTTTTCTTATATGTACCCATTTCATGTATTCACAACTATGTATACACTTATACTTATTATCTTGTAAACAATTGGCAAATAAATAAATAAATAAATAAATAAATAAATAAATGTTCAGCAAATATTAGATTGCAGCAAAATACATGGCTTAATCAGTGAGGTTTATCAGTGAGGAAAATATGAGTGGGTTGTAAGTCTATGCACATTTATTTGGTGTAAATCCTATTGAACTGAAATTTGGTTCTCTTTCCTTTTAAGATCATTAGGTGATATTATTCGGATGCATATTATCAACAAGTGTGACCTTGATGAGGTGAGTAATACTCATAAAACAATGCAATGTATTCCAGGAATAGTCTTATGCATATCTAGAAAAAATTATATTATTTAGACTACTACACATTAATTAGGAGAAGAAAATCAGGTGCCAACATGAAATGAATTATATTGGTAATAAGCTCAAAAGGAAAAAATTGAAATGTTTTCTTATATCTCCAAAGTACAACTGAACAAAACAATGTTTGATTGAATAGGTAGCAATCTACATTCTGGAATAGCCAAATGAGGATATTTCTTGCAACATATATTTGGATTTTGCATTTCTGCCATTTGACACAACAGATAAGGTCAGAGAGAAAGTTTAACTCTACTTGTAAGACATGGATCCTTTCATACATTGTTAAATTGTAAAGCCATGGGGAAAATGCTCAACTTCTCCAAGTTTCAAAGCGTCCTTTTTAGGATAAAACCTGTACTGATGGCACAAGTCACATATTGAACAAAACTGCTGAGAGCTGCATATTCCAACAGAAATACAAAATGTATTGAAGGTGTAGTAATAATTCTTCATAGCTTTGGATTCTTTATATTAATCGAATGATTATATACCATTGAGACAGTTTCAACTACTAGTAGCAATATAGATTTTCTTCATCTCTCTCTCTCTCTCTCTCTCTCTCTCTCTCTCTCTCTCTCTCTCT